CGATGTCGAGGTTAACCCTGGTCCGGACATGAAGATTATAATGGAACAGCTTAAAGCCATTGCTATACATATACAGGACATAAAGAGTGAAAAGGTCACAACAAATGACAGACTTTCAGCTATTCGAACAAAAGCTAGAGAGCCTCAGTACGCTCCAAACTACCGTCAGTGCGTGTCAAGAAAAAATAACTGAACTTGAAGCTAACATTAAAACCATTTTTGAAAAGCTAGAGGATTTTGAAAACCGAAGCAGGAGAGCAAACTTGATAATTTACGGAATCGAAGAAAAAGACACTGAAAACAGTGAAATACTTGAAAGAGTGGTTTCAGACGAAATCTTCAGAAGGCTTCTTAACACGTCGATATCAGGCATCGAAAGAATTCAACGTCTGGGTAAAAAGACGGACCAAAGAATTAGGCCTGTCATCCTGAAACTACTTGACTGCAGAAATAAGACAAGAGTGCTAAAAAATTGCTTCCAATTGAAAGGGACAACGTTTTCTATCAGCGAGGATTTTTCACGCCCCGTGCAACAGATACGAAAGAAACTGTGGCAAAGCACTAAAATCAATCGAGATAAAAACGATAAAGTGTTCTTGACTTTCGATAAGGTCAGGGTAAACGGGCAGTTGTACGCATGGGACGAGGATAAAAATGACAAAGTTCCAACAGCAAAAAACGATGTCACCGACCACGCCTATAGTTGATAACCGTGTTTACTGTCTAATGTTACAGTCCTTAATTTAAACGCAAGAAGTCTTCTAAATAAGGTAGATGCGCTAGAGTCTATACTTTTGGAATACAATCTAGAAATCGTTACAGAAACCCGAACGTGGCTACACCCGTTAACATCTGACATCGAAATTGTGCCACCAGACTACATTATTCTAAGAAAGGATAGATTAACAAGGGGTGGTGGTGTAGCAATTATATTAAAACGCGGTGTTTCTTATGTTCCTATGCCTGAGGTAAAAAACGTGGAATCTTTATGGTGTAAGGTCTCCTTTGAAAATTATTCTATTGATGTCGGCGTTGCTTAACGTCCCCCAGACTCTGACCTACAGTATCTTCATAATCTCTATGACTACATGCTAGCAAATATTAAAAGCGATAAAATCATTATGACGGGTGATATTAATATGCCCGAAATAAACTGGGACTCGCTGCACCCTGGCCTGGATACTGCTGATGTTATTAGAGACATGTTATTTGCGTTCAATCTAACCCAAATCGTCAGGGAAGCAACCAGGGTGCAGGGATCGTCACGGAGCTTGCCTGACGTAGTGTTCCTCAGTGACCACTTTCCTCGAGCTCAAACTGACGTAGAAGTGGTGGAGGGGATATCTGACCATAAAATTGTTGTATGCACGGTACCTGTTCGCAGTTCCGCCATCTCCCATGGCTTCGCTAAATACGTGATCGATTTCTACAAAACTGACGATGCTAGCATTCAAACTTATCTTGCTCATAAATTTAACGATTTTAAAGAGCTCTATGATGAAACTGATATCAGTATTGACGAACTATGGCAAAAGCTGAAGTCAACTGTTAATCACTGCATCACTAAGTTTATTCCTAGTAAACGTAAAATTATAAGGAAGCTCAACCCATGAATTTCACGTGAAATCATTCACCTGAAGCGTAAGCTAAAAAGACTAAGAAAGTCATCCAAAAAGCGCACACTCACCAACCACAATCCAACTATATCGGAACTATCCTGACTGCTCAAACTGAAGATTAAAGAAGCAAAGCACAAATACTGCAATATTACTCTTCACAATTTTATGAAAGCATCACCCCGAAAATTCTGGAACCATATAATTCCCAGAAAGTCTAAAACTTCCAACATAAGTGCCTCGAAGGCACAAAAAATGACAGAAGAATTCAGCAGTTTTTTTAAGTCCGTTTTCACAGCTGATAATGACAAAGAAGACTTAATTCTACCTTCTAAAACCTACGGAGATAAAGACCTTGGAAGCTTATAAATCGCAGAAGCAGGCGTTTTAAAACTTTTACTCGACTTAGACAAAAAGAAGGGTACGGGTCCTGACGAAATTCCTAAGATGTTTTTAAGAAAATACGCTGAATGGATGAGCAAGTATTTAGTGCTAATTTTTAACAAGTCTTTGAGTCTTCCTTTGGTTCCGGCAGTGTGGAAAGTCGCAAAAGTTATTCCTATTAATAAGTCTGGCGATAACTCCTTAACTTCCAACTACAGACCTATATTCCTAACGTGTACTTGCTGCAAAATGATGGAACACATAATTTTGAAATTTATGACAGAATTCACTGAGAAACATAATATACTAAATGCACACCAGCACGGATTTAGGAGAGGTTTGTCAACGATTTAACAGCAACTCGAGACACTCCATTACTTTTCGATGGTTATGAACAATAGAAGACAAATTGACATAATTTACTTAGACTTATCAAAGGCCTTCGAGCGTGTTTCGCACGTGAAACTTGTCAAAAAACTTACACACATTATGGGGAGGGCCCGATAATAAAATGGATAGAGGAGTATTTAACAAATCATTTTCAGTTTGTTTATCTCGAAGGACAGGTTTCAAAACCGGTTGCAGTGCAGTCGGGAGTTCCACAGGGCTCTGTCCTAGCACCACTCTTATTTCTTTAGTACATTAATGACATGGTTGATGGCACTGACGCATACATAAAGTTATTTGCAGATGACTGCATTATTTATTGCGATACCTCACGCCAAGATGACCAAGCAATATTAAACAGATCTCTAAAGAAGGTAGCAGACCGGTGCAGTGAATGGCACATGATTTTAAACACTGAAAAGAGAGTTTGTATGTGCTCGACCAATAAGAAAAAAAATGTTCTTGAATTTCCTTACAGCTTAGACGGTAAAATTTCGCGCAGAGTCACTGAATACAAATATCTAGATGTCGTGTTAACGTCTAATGTAAACTTGAATGCGCATGTCAAATACGTATCTAGTAAAGCGCTCGTAAAATTAGTTTTTCTGGAAAGAACGCTAAAATACTCTAGTCGTGAAACCAAGTTGTTCGTATACACTACACTCGTTCGCCCGGTATTAGAATACTCACTCATTGCCTGGTTCCCGCATACACAAACCAATGTCAACATCCTCGAAAGTGTTCAGAGGAAAGCGATAAGATTTGTTCACCACAAGTATGGTCACTTTGATTCCCCTACAGAATTGCTGAAAAGATCCAGCCTACTGACCATTGCTGATCGTGCAAAATTAGGAAGACTCAAAATTTTTTATCTCCTTTTAAACGGCGCCTTTAAAATAGACAAGAACAAGTATGTGAATTTTTCCCAGGAAAGACTAACAAGACATAAACACTGCAATACATTAACCGAATACTCTTTCAAAAATAATACTTTTAGGTACTCCTTCTTTCCTTCAGCTGTAAGAGACTGGACCAGCCTTGATCCGCTATTTTTCAACTACACAATTGTGAATGGGTTGAATCAAGCTCTTGAACAAGATGGTCTTAGCAAGTTCATTAGCTAGTTCTTTCTGTTATGTTCCGTTTTGTTGTTTCAATATGAAATGAAGTGACGATTTCTAAAAATTACTGTTTTTCGCGCGCCTCAAACATTTTGTGTGTTGTTTTTATTTGTACCATACCTGATATAAACCCTCAATGGGGATTGGCAGTATTTTGAAAATAAATAAATAAATAAAATAAAACATAAAGTAGACGTTGTTGTGCACGCAAAGAAGAAAAATAGAACAAACAACTGTTACAACAGAAGGCTGTTTATTTTACATAAAAACGTAAAAGCAACCACTATGTGTTTACGCTGGTGTTTTTTGGATAATTTTTCCTGTATTCATAAGTATTCAAGACTATATATAAACTGTATTGAAGCTCGTGTCCCATTTTAAAACATAATAATTTGTACACCTTATTTATCTCTATCAGACTGTAAATATAAAATGCTAGTTACATATATCAAGCATCAAAAACAAGTGTTCAGTCCCTCACCATATATCTTACTTTAACCAACAAAATGAAGGCGACAAAAAAAAATCCCGGAAGTTGCTGTTTTTTTTATTTATTATTTCGTTTTCATTCTAATAACACGAATGAAATTTACCTGTCAAGAAACTACTGCAAGTCTGACTTGTTTATACCATGAGAAAGGCTTAAATATTCGTGTTCGGTCTTATTTACTGATCTAAATATTTTATACTTTGTATTGCTCTTGAAAATGTGTATCAAAATATGTTTTAGTTGTTCGTATTCCTTTTGTGCGCAATTTACAGTAGACTCCATGTTGTTTATTTAATCCCTCCCTCCGGTTTAAATTCACGAGTCTAAAAAAACAGCTATTTTTACAACTCTGATAGACGACTCGATTGTTTTCTTAATGACAGGTTGCACTTTTGTAGTTCTTGGAAGAAATACTGAAAACGTTGTGCCCCACACATCATACGAGGCAAATTGCTCATTAATATAATATATATTGAAACGTATATTAGGGTATTTTTTATAAACATTTTGTATTACAAAATATATCCGCGTATCCAACAATACCCAATGGAAACCAGCTGGACTGTCGTAGTGCATTACCCAACTTTCACTTCACGTTTCGATGGATCGTCCCATGTTGGGATTTCCCCTTTTTTGATCACGCAAACACGGGATTCAATACTTCGAACAAAATTCTGATGGGGCTTTCCAGCGAAACCTGATCGAGCTTCATCGATTACGACAAAACGAGCTCATGCAGCATTACGTGTGCATTCTCTTTCTCGAACCATTTTCGGGCAACGGTAAATGCTGAGCAAGAGGTTGGAAAGACTTCCTAATCGTTCTTCTGTTTCGAAAGAATAAAATGAAAAGAGAACTTGGCATGAAACGTAATATTGAATATTCTTCGCATAAGTATAGCGCAAAGAATTAATTAAACCAGTAAGATAAAAAAAAAAGATGAAACGAACTTCCGGTTTTAGTGCCGGGGCCTATATAAGGTCCTGGTACTTGCCTGGAGTCACCATACCTGGTTTTGGGATTGTCCTGCTGAGACATCTTCAAGTGTCATCCGTCATGAAGGCTGTGGTAAAATAATACCCTTTGCTTTGCTTTCTTTTTATCCGGGATTACTTTATACACTTTAGATTTGTCTTGGTACCTTGAATAAATTTCGCAATCCGGTTTTCTAAATAAATTGGGATAGCGCAGCATTTCGGTAATACGATAAATCTTTTCATTTTTTTTCTAATAAACTTATTTCCGTAAAATGCGACACGTAAACAAAGGGTTTACTTAAAACCGAGCTACGGTTATATAATATGGCCTTTGGAATTTATTATGTGGCTAATAAGTTCATCCATAGATATCTACATTTTCCCGCATGCACGAGGTGTTTGGTCCAGCTTGCCATGAGATAAGTTCGCTTTCTTTTGAAACTACCCTAGACGCCTCTATGAATAGGATATCTTAAAATATTGGTCAACTTATAATATTATCAAACAGATTTTACTTTTACCCCATCGTTTGTTTGTTTTCGACGCCGGCTAAATTATTCTTCGCATTACAATAGACTTCTAGCCCAAAACTTTACATTCAACAGGTGAAAGCCCAGTCGATCACCCTAGCAGCAATAACGTTTAGTTGGCTGATGTGCTCGCTTCCTACAACCTGTTAACAAGCGGCGTGTTGGGAATAGGACGTCTACACGACAAGCCTTCAAGGCTGATTGAGAGATACATTTGAGTGTTATTTACTCCTTTACCATCGCTTATGACTGCTTGCGACTATTTAACACAATGCTGCTATATATCAGTTAACCCTGGCCCACTTTTAATCTGCGTATATATCACCATTTATTGCGAATAATTTTTATCACCAAGGGCTTGAAGGCATTCTGAGAGCGAACATTTATCATATATAGAGCGATTTTGTCTAGCAAATACTGCAGAACATTCAGTGCAGTCTAGTGGCGTAAGTAATCAATTGCTATCGCCGCAATGACGCTACAACGTTTGAAACTCGTACAACCTTTTGTGAAATTCGTTGTAGTGGAGAAGAACCGAACGTACTCACACAATATGTGTATTAGTTCACTTTAAGCCAGATTTGGCACCGAGTAGTCTTGTATCATCTGGATACACACATGTCCTAAACATTATGCAGTTGTTAAATTTTGTTCGATTTTACAGCTTTCTCTCGTCGTGTTCTGCGTTGCTCTGGCCGTGGCCACCGCCGGTTTCGGTCACGGAGGATTTGGCGGAGGATTCGGTCGAGGCTTCGGCGGCTACGGCGGCGGTCTTGGCGGTTTCGGCGGTGGTTTGGGACACGGATACGGAGGCGGCTACGGAGGAAGTTACGGCGGATCTTACGGTGGAAGCTACGGTGGATCTTACGGCGGCCGCTACGGTGGATTCGGAGGTGGCTTCTACGGCTAACTTCTACGCCTTGCCCAGACCCCACACAGCAAAGGTATCTTCCAAGGAGACTTTCGCTTTTGACTAGAAATTAAGTCCCTTTCAGTTCGAAGATCGGAAAGGGGTGTGTGAATGGCGGGGAAGGGGGTGGGGGAGCGTAGTCTTGGTTAGCTGAAGGCTAGCCAAGACTACGCTTCTATTTTATTCGCCTATTTTATTCGCCTATGCGCCTATTTTATTCAATTACTTTTTTTTTTTGTGAGGATATATATCCGAAAATTAAAAGCTTCTACACTTGCGGCCGCAGAATTAATGAACTGAAGCCGCTCTTGCATGAGCACTGTGAGATTCCCTAAACAAATATGAGCCCTTTGTTTAGCTTGCAATATTGCCAGTAGGACAGCGTATCAAGGAATGTTAGGACAGGAACAAAAACTTGGAGGACGCTTAAACTTCGCCTTTAAGTGTAGAACGCTATAGCTCTATCAGGCCCCGTTCGCATCTCCTTCTCATTCGACGTGCAAGCGTGCCTTGCGTGAACTAGTCGGTAGTCAATGAAGAAAAAGAAAAGTGGCCTAAGCGGCAAAGAAGAAGAGAAAAAAAGAGTGGCCTAGTCAGAAGCATGTCTGGCTCGCAAACGAAAGCTCGTGAATTCGAATTCTGTCTAAAATTCTTCAAATGTCTCTTTGTACAAATGAATTGCTTTATAAATTGAGATCATTTTAGACATACGGCAACATGTCATGTTTTATGCACTTTTATTCCACGGGTGACGTCACGTCGCACGAGAGCGTTGTGGGCTGTTCAGAATTCCCGCGCGAGGTCGAGTGGATGTGACGTCATGAACATCTCGACGAATCAGGATGTTCCCGTCTCAGCACCGACCCCAGCTTTCTTACGACACTAGCTCCTTAAAGGGGTCGCATTAAAGCGGGTTACAAGACGGTATAATGTTTTCTAAACATATATTTTCTGTAAACAAAAACCGTGAAGCTAATATTCCATTTTAAATATACTTTTTTTTTCTTATTTTGCTGCTTACCTATCACCGCTTTACGTGTGAAAAGAAAGAATGAGCGTCGACAGTCAACGCGCCTACGCAATGGTTGCACTACTTATTTGCCCTCGTTCAGGAGAGCGTTCTTCGGACGCTTCGGACTGAATATTTTCGGTGGTCCAGACCAGAATGTTACGTGTAAAATGTTCGTGCGAAAAGAGCAGTGATATGCAGGCTGTGTGAAAAGACAATGGAAGTGCATTAACAATATAGTGCTAAGGAGCTCGTGTCGCAAAAAAAGCCGGCGCCGGTGGCGTGAGCTTAAATCCAGGAGTGGTTGATAAGGCCATGACGCCACAGCCACATAACCTCGCGCGGGTATTTCAAACAACTCACAACGCTCACGTGAAATGTGACGTCTTGCGTGGAGTGAAAGCGATTACAAACAGGGCACGCAATTCGTATTAAAGGTCACTGCAGGCCTCACATCATTTCACTTTATGAAGTAATTCATTTGCCTCCGAAAACATTTTGAAGAATTTTAAGCGGGATAACAAACCACGACCCTTCGGTTGCGAGCCAGACAGGCGACCGACCAGGCTACTCACGGCACGCTTGCATGGCCTGGGAACGAAGGGTAGTTTATTTGTCTATAGGCTTCGCTGTCGCCTATCGCTCTTAAAGGCGAATTTTAAGCGTCCTCCAAGTTTTGACGGCTTGTGCTGCTGATGGTAAGGACTAAAATATCTGCCCACCGAGAAAGTACACAATATAAACAAGAAAAAAGAAAACACTTCCGGACATTCAACCCACTCCGTACTCTCAGCCATTCAGTAATCTATTGCAATAGGGGCTAGTTCATGCTTCATTTGACATATATAATATACTGGCACGTGTCGAGATAGGTATTTCAAGCATCTCTTAATCATTATATTTAAAAATTATATCTGGTAGTCCTCCATTGGTAAAAAACCGTTAACAACATGTTTAAGGGGTTTTTTTTTTTTGCGACATGTGATGCAGGAAGCAAGTTGGGTAAATATATATAATAATGCTGTATAATTTCTGCTTTACATTGTACGCTTAGTACCAGAGTAGTAAAACTCAGATGACGGTTCGCTGTCTGTTTATTGTGAATTGTCAGTGAGCGATTCCTACGTAAGAAAATATAACTTCCTAAGCGAAATTTCTTCCAGACGGAATACTGCCTGAACAACTCAGAAATATTACAAAGAATCTTCGATAACGTATTATGTTTATTATGTTGTTCAGTCAACAAAACCAATGTATTAATTATATTTACAAGAAACACTTTTAAAGGATATGAAAACAATATTGTCGCGAAAGAAGAGGTGATGAAACAAAAAATAACTGAGAAAACTGAAACGTTCAATGGGGTGAACTTGTGCCCAAAACACAATAGATAAAGGATAGTGTCGCAGGCGTCGATGGCGGCGAAACAGCAGGATCGGACGCTGGGGCGAGGCTGACTGGGGATTGCCACGCGGAGCACCTTTTGTAGACGCCTGGGCCTCTGGAACATTCGGCCTAGAACGTTCGGCGCGTAGAACATTCGTAACTTAATCAGACAAGATAGTTCTCGGATTAGCGAGTACGCCAAGTAGAAATAATGAATAAAAGAACACTCTGCTGCCTGCAATCAAACCCGGATCTTCCGCACTACAGACAAGCACGGTAACCATTCGACCACGTACGCGCTCGCTCAGCGACGCGCGTGGCAATTTTAAATATTAGCAAATCATAGAATTGCTGATTTGGATTAGGTGTCTTTTATCCACATATATTACTTGTTTTTTTTATGTATTTCTAATGAGGTTAAAGAGAAGTAGACGTCCTCATGACTAATTATTTACTTCCCATGTTTATGTTCCCTATTTTGTTTCGCTGTAGTTCACCGCAGCTAATAGAGGTTTTCCTTGAACTTTCTCGCAAGTGTGAGGCAGTCTCTACGCAATGCCACATACAGCAAACCATGTGCTTGTCTCTGGCATTACAGCGGCAGGAATAAATATTGAGGAATATCATATATATATAACTACTTTTTTGGCTACAAAACTATTTCCAGTGTTAACAGTACACTTGCACGTCGGAACAAACTTTTAGTGTCTAAAGCGCAAGCTGGTACGCCTTTTTGTGTGTCTTTGTGTCTTTTTATGTCATAAGTTTTATAATATTAAACAGATTAATCCGCATAACTGCATGCTTATGACCTAATGTGTAATAATATATACTAATATTTGAGTCGTACGGTTTTGACATTCAAATTAGTTATACCCTCGTTTTTACAGATGTTTTCGGCTAAATTTTATAGGACAACCCAGTTAGCTTTCAATTCCACCTTAATTCCAAAGCTGCGAAAGCTAAAATTACATTAAAAATGTCTGGTTTTGTATTAGGGATGAATTTTCAAATGCTAAAAACCTTCTCTCTTTCGTTTCAGTGTACAGTTTGGTTGGAATACCGTATCAAGAAATCAAAACTGGAAAGCAAGAAGATTGTGTGCATACGATGCGAATGCTCATATATTTTCAGCTCAAAAAATAATAAAAAAAACTTCGTAAATACTGGTACAGCGATCTTTGTTCGCGTGTGATCTGGAGTGCACTATTCCACTGAACGCGTCTACGCAGACATTCTCAGGTGTGCTCAAAATTATGACCAAATAAAAAGAAGGTTTTACTATCAGGTATCACTGCTGATACCTTGTGCTAAACAAAGTGTGAATGAACCTACGATGAAAATTGTCCGACATTGGCTCTTTTGGTGGCATAAACATATGATCACTGCTATGAATTTTGTAGTAAAAGTTCGTGTTCTCACAAAAAATGGCATGAAAATTTTTTATTTTACGTTTCTTTTATTTTTATTTTATGGTCAGCCGAAACATAATTTATAGACTGGACAAACCTTTGAGAGAGTCCCGAGTTGTGTTTAAATCTTCGTATGAATATATGATTAAAAGTGACGCAGTTCAAGATACGCAGGTAATTAGACACTAACACGGAACACTGTTTCCCTGAAGCGTAAATCACATGAATAAAATCACGTCCGGAGAAAACGGCATATATCAAGAAACCACTGATCCGCTACAAAATTAGGCGTTTAAAATTACTACATCATCTGTAGCCCCTAATACGGGAGTTCTGTTGTTGAGGTGACACATGCAATAATTAACAAATTTCTGTCACCACTTTTAAAATAGATTTTAGTCAGTAATATAATAAAAAGCTGGCAATATTTTATGGAGCATGTCGAACAGATGCTATTTACAGTTTTGTGATACCATGCCTAAATTTTGGTGTTTGGACACACCGTATATTTGACAATGGCGGTTTTATTTTTCAATTAGGAGCGAAAGACAAACCGCAAGAAAGCACAGTTGCGGCTGCAACATTACCCACGTGACAGGAGCATACATTTAATTCAAACTACATAGAAAAATAGTAAAAAAATTAAAAATAACCCAGTTGATGAAACGCACGGGCACAGCAATATCGTGGCATTTTTACTGATTTATATTTTATGTCATTTTTCAAGCACCTATTACGCACTTAGGATGTTCGATCTATCCTTGAACTTACACTACATCAGTTTAACCTTCTTCGGTTCTTCTCTCTTCCACAGGCGGGTATCGAGTTGCCTTTTAAATGAGGCCTACATCTAACCCAGAATCCTCGTTTCTATGTACTTCAACACTTCAACTCCATTCTTAACCTTTTGAAATAATTCACGGGGAAAGATCCACCACACCCGTTGTGCCACGTAAAACATATATTTCTACATTATTTTCGGTCATTAAAAAAGAAAACGAGTTTTATTGCCAATTCACGTCAGAAATGTAAGGTGGTCGCATAACGCATCATGGCAAGACGAAAATTTTATCCCAAATGCTTTGCTGCTGTTTTGCTACAAAGCAATTATGACATTCGCTTTCGATTAGCTTCCTTGAAAGGGAGAAAATTGGAACTAGCTTTATCGCTAAGTCTCTCTGCACGTACGGTATACGCGTTTTCTATATTTTTCTTTCTGTTTTGTTCCCAGTTATTTTAAGATTTCTTTATTTTTTTGTACGATTTTATCTGAATATACCGGTTTTCACTGCTACCACTCGGTTCATTTTGTATTCAACTTTCGTCTTTCCAGGAGTCGAAATTTCCACCGATTTCTTTTGTTAAAGTTCGCAGTTGAAGCAGATATCGTATACACGATTACCAACAATTTTCCCAGCCAAACGCTAAAAAGATAAGTAATTTAAAAATATTAAATATAAACGAGATTTAATAAAACGTTTTGGAACCTGGTAAAGGATAACAAAAAGGACAAGGCTAGCCAACCATCAATTGAAATATCCGGTCGAATTGTATACGACGACCAAAAAAGGTCAACACGCTCCACTCCCTAGTTTCAGTCACTATTTTATCTTCCAGTTTCCGGTGACTTGCCCGCATTGGCTTCAGCAGACTGCCGCCAGTCTGCCAAATGCCATGAAGAAACTCGGGACTAACTCCGATGCTCTTATTAGACTTCTAGAATGACGTAATTCTGATAAATCACCCCGGCCTGATAATATCCCTACAAGGTACTTAAGAAATGCTCAGCTGCTAATTTAGTGTTTCTGAATATGTTGTCATCTAAATCACTCTCATTCAGATCTTTCCCTAGCTGCTGGAAGAAGGCACATGTAGTCCCTGTGAATAAAGGCGGTTCCGAAAACAACGTTGAAACGCATAGCAGGCCGATGTTCTTCTAAGAAAATCCTCAAAACTTAAAGAACAGAATGCTGCAAGACAGTCTAGTATGGAAGTCGTTGTCACTTGTTTTACAAAAAAAAATCTTTAGAAAAAAATTTGTCGAAACCGAAAGGTTCTAAAGATTAGGCCAAACATATCCAATCTCTAATTGACCGATCATCGTAAAAGTTGTTCGCTTCCAAAGCAAAGAAGTGCTTCGTAACACTTTCAAGTCAAAGGTGATTCTAATTTCTGGGAATTTCTTTGATAAGGTACGATTTGCGTAACACAAGCTATGGAAATTCGCACAACTCGGAAAAAGCGGGGCGCGGTACAAACTAAATTACAACAAACTACGTATCGGTACACAAACACATGTTTACGATTCCGACAGTGATTCAGTGGCCTCGCTCCGTGCGCGCCGTTAAAGCAATGTACCACGTGACTGACTCATTGCAACACGCAAGTTCTGTAATCGGTCTGCAGATTAAATGTCCTCTGAACGCCCTGTTTCTTCAAATATTTCCTTCACTGTAGCAAACCTTTGGAGCTTCCAATCATGACAAGACAAACTGTAAAGCCTAGCTTTTTCTAGCGATGCAGTTGCATGCTTCGCAAAGGAACCTTGTTAACAATCGACGTAAGCAATAATAAACTGATTTTAAGTCGCTCATATAATATTTACCGAAGAGATAGGCATTTCGCTAGGGGTGAAGGGGATCGGGGGGGGGGGGGGGGGGTTTAAATCCTTTACCTTAAAAAAACGTGTTAGGCTTACGGTTCTGTGTTTTCGGAGTTTATTTTAGTGCGATTCGGAGGGTGCTTTTTAAGTTTTTTTTTTTACCAAAAACTCGGGGTTTATCGGAGTTTAATTTCGCTGTAATCACAATACTCAAATATTTAAATAAGGCGATATCGAGATACAAACACATCAGAGCACATTGAATCGAATATTAATTGATTAACAGGTTTACAATGAGTACACATACACAAGTATAACGCAAACATGCACGATTGCGCGTGTAACAGCTTCAAGCGTATCGTAGTAAATGACGGAATATATTTTAACGTTTCTATCAATGGTGCCAGCGCGGCACCATTGATAGAAACATCAGCAACAGGGAGCGCGCTCCTTGCGGTTAATAATCTCAACATAGAAAATGACCTTTCAACGTTTGCGCTAGAGACGGAACGCCAGGAGCCTCGGCATACAGCGAGAGAGCGCTGGCCACTGGCAGGAGCAGTCTCCAAAATGTCAAGGGTTCCACACTTTTAGCAATTACATAGCTGTGGTAGTTTAAAAAGTCACTCATGAGCTGGTTCATGTTATCAGTTTCTAGAATCTAAAATCTAATCTAAAAATAAGTTCATAGGTTTCTAACCAAGGGGGTAACTCAAACTTCATATTTGGATTTACGATTTGAACAGTGTACCAGAACGATACACTAGTGTACTGGACTGCATCGGCAAGGTTCCTCTCTATCGTCTAACTTCATCTTTTAGCAACAGTGATGTAGTATTTGTGCAGATCTACAGCAGGTTTTCATCAGTCATTCTCGTCAAGCAGATCAAGCAGACTTGCGACATCCGGTGTGAAGCTCCTCCCAGACGGGTCACACAATTCACTGAGGAGCACGTGCAAACGAACCCCCATTATGGGAAAAATTTGGTATACGACCGTGCTCTCTGCCTCAAGTTTCTTAATGATCGACAGCACAACACACGAATTTCTCTTCAGAAGCCTCAACTTAATCAGCAAACCGCGTACAGCTTCTGGCGATTAAATCAGGGTTTTTAGTTTTCCACACTACTTTCCCTTGGCATCGTCGCTTCTTACGAAAGATAGAATTACACGCCAGTAGTCCAGAACACCTCCTAGAGCTTCATAAAATAGAACTATTTAAAAAGGCTGGCAGTCTTCGGTGACTTCATGGTCATGCCCATGGTTACGCATTTGAGACCGAACTTACGACGCAGCTCCCGCGACGACTTCAACAGGGCAGGAAAATGCACAAAAAATCATGAACATGCTTAAATGAGTTCGTCTTAACTCCATTATCTAGGGCGTTGTTTGCGTGGTCGCAGGGATCTTTCAAGTGAAGGGCTTTGAATTCGGGGCGGGGGAGTTGACAGTCCTTGTGAAGCTTCTGCATGTATAAAACTGAACCTGAGCCCAACACAGATACGTCGACTAAGGAGTTTCTCATTTTCTGAAAAGCTGATTTTATCAACATTCCAATCGATACTGCGTTGCCCTGCTGAAGTACTTGATAGCCTATCATAAGAGTCCTTCGCCCAGTAAGGTCATCGTCGTAGAGGTCTTTAACACCGCAACTGCTGGACGACAGCAGAGTTCCGGCACATCATCGATGGTGATGGGGTGTTCTTTCATCAAAGACCTTACCGTCGCAATGCCGCTTTCACTGACCTTATGCAGATGTTTTCGATGCAGTTCATAACTACCTGCATCGTGCGCGCTGCCGGGCACTTGTTTCTAAAGGGGCTTTCAATTGGTATGTCAGCCTGGTGCAGTGGAAGCCCAGCTCGGCAAAGTGCACGGCGAAACTGGTACGGGATCTCATCAGCGTCTTGGCTGCTGGATGGAGCTCGTGTGATGCATCCTTCCAGTGAGCTTTGCTTTGACAAGTTATTTAAGGAGTAGAAAGCAAGGTGATGTGAGACTTGGACAAAATAGACCCTTCTGTTCATGTGGCCCGAAACACTTGGCCCGAAAAAAACATGAACAAGAATTAAGTAAGAAACTATGTGAAGCTGTAAGTAGCAGTCTATATAAAGCCTAACGTTCATGTGAAGAATAAATAAATGATAGACGAGAATCTAA